TGAATTATTTGTGTTGTTATTACAAGTGTTGCTGTGACCCCCTAGGAAAAGGTTATGCCCCGCCCTGTATAATGATGAAATGCATACAAACTCTAATCCCCTTCTCTAGTCCAGGACTGGCTTTACTTGGTTTGTGTAACATACTTAGAGATAACCTTTTTTTCTTCTACATTCTACATTCTATCAATGTAATTGATAGATTATTACTCCCAGGAGATTCTAACGTATGTAAACAAGTAACAATATTTGGTTCTAAAATACTGCATAGATGCATTCAATACCGTATACTTTCAAAATTATTATCTTCATGCGTTTTATATTGCATGTAATTCCTTCTTTTACATCAGTATATTGAGTTTAAAGTTTACATTTAAACTTACAATTAAAGATGTACAATTTATATCAGTATATACAGATTTGGGTGGGTGGGTACATGTACACTATCATGATCTCTCCCTTTGCTCAAACAGTAGGGTGTTACGAAGTCTGCTGCAGTGGAAGAATTGCATAATAAGATAAGACAGGAGCTAGAAAGCTAAGCTACTCTACACTTACTGCTTCATTCCGTTTCTAGTACATAGCTGTAATAAATGCAATCCTGTGCAATAATAATAACTTTTTACACTTGTACGCTGCATGACACTCTGTTCATCCTCTTACTTGGGAATTGAAGGGCATTTCTGAATAAACATGTATAGGATTGTCCTGTGAGGATTTTGAAGGAAGCCTACTTTGCAAAGCTGTGCATTGATAATTCACTATACTAAATTGTATAATTACACACAGACACACACTTTGTTGTCTTACAATAATATAGATACACCATTAAATATTATGCTGCGTCAACATTATTTGAAGTTTACATTAGGAAAAACTAGATAAAAAGAAATAAGATTACAGGTAGTCATCGACTTATAAGAGAGTTCACTTAGTGACCATTCAAAGTTACAATAGCACTGAAAAAATTAACTTATGACCATTTTTCGCAGTTATAACCTTTGTAGCATCCCCATGATCACATGGTCACAATTCAGATGCTTGTCAACTGGTTCATACTTTATGTCCATTGTTGTTTTCTAAGATCATGTGGTCACCTTTTGCAATCTTTTGACAAGCAAAGTCAGTGGGAAAGCCAGATTCACTTATCAACAAGATCACTAACTTATCAACTGCAGTGGTTCACTTAACATCTGTGGCAAGAAAAACTGGGCAAAATTCATTTAACAAATGCCCCAATTAATAGAAATTTTGGGCTTAGTGTAAGTTGAGGACCACCTGTATTAAAACTAATTATCGTTCCAAGAAATAAGATTTATACTTAAAATATCAGTAAATAATTAATTTAGCTATAGGTAGTCCTCAGATTATGATGGCAGTTGAACTGGGATTGCCATCACTAAGTCATCTGGTCGTAGAACAATGTCACTTGATTGCATTGGTTAGTAATAGCATCCCAGACAATCCTGATTCATAATCCTAAAACTCATGGAAGAAGTTGATGTGGAAGAGGTGGGAGTCCCAAGTAAGGAGTGCTGGTGTGGGGGAGGGCCTAGAGGGCATACTAATTATCAAGATAGATATCAGAGAAGATTCAAACAACTGGATAAAAGGGTTGAATAAATTTCTAGTATTTGAAATTTATATAGATATATGGACTCCAGTTAGAAAGTTAAATAGATCTTTGTGATTAATTTTATCCCAGGTGAATTTATTCTGTGGATATCCCTTGCTAAAAAAAATTCTAGTTACAAAGATGTATATTGTTGTGTGTATATATACCCTGGTACTTGAAACATACCCACCCATAAATACACAATGTAAAAAATATGTGTGTGCTACAATTCAAGTATATAGGTTATATAAGTATATGATATTCACAGTAAATCTAAGGGAAGGTAGAGAAAGGAATCAACGACAGAAGTATTTTCAGTTCATCTGTTGCGGACTAGAAAGTGATTTTTCTTCTTTCTGTTGATTCAGATCAGTAGAAAATTATCCCCCATTATTTGTGTTTCGTACGTGTGTCAGTTATACAGTTTGAGAGTCTGAAAATCCACAGCTGATCAGACACATAAAGAACTTTTGTTCATGCAAGAAATACTTGTTAGATCTGACAAAGTTATTTAGGGATTTGGATCTCAATTCTCTCTCTTCAGCAGTGAGATATGCAAACTTTTTGGGAGTTTTCTAAATTTCAACTTGATTTAAAGCATGATTACTCCAGTAGAGAATGCTAACATTTTGTGTGTGTATGTGATGAATTAAGTAGTTATTAGGGTTGTGCATAGCTTAAACGAGGCTTCATTCCGTGAAGATTTGATCACATCATTCCAGATTCACAAATCAAAGTGGAGACCCACTTTAATGATGAATTTTATCAGATGCTTATAAAGTGCTTTGCAAATTTTATTACTGTATTATTCTGCTTCTGCATTGGTACAGATAATATTAGGTGGTGCAATTTCACTTCCATCTATTAGCAGTGATAATTGGGGAACTTAGTGGCATTGTGAGTTCTGGCATTGTCTTGTGTAGTTATGGAGGCCAGTTTTGTCATCTTTTTTTCTTTTCTTTTTTTGCATTCTACAAAATACGAATAAAGATAGATTTTGCCTGAAATTATATCCTCTCAGATTTTCCTGTCTGTAGCCAGTCAGGATTCATTCACATAAGTCTAATAGCTGTCTAGTGGGAGAATAAGTAGAATTCTTCAGTTTAAACTCTCAGTAGATTACTTATGATTGTTTCTTAAGAGGTGTAGTTGCTTAAATTATGTCTAGTGCTTTGATGTTTCTGGATCCTCGACTAGTAGGATAAAAATCATTTTTGCTCAGTACATCAAAATGATCCCAGTTTTTCTTTGTCCTTTCAGGTGCTGGAGAATCTGGTAAAAGTACCATAGTGAAGCAGATGAAGTAAGTAAAATATGCAATATATGATATTGAAACAATTCATTTGAATTGAAGCATAGTGCCTACATATGAAAGAGCCCCCTTTTCCATTATACAGTACCTGAACTATCATGGATACAGTATAAAACATGCCTATTGGGATCTCAATGGAGATTATTATGGGTGTGATTATTATGTAAACAAAAGGTATTTCAGTTTGTGCAAGCCCCTTTCCCTTTTTTATTTTTCAGATGCGGCTTCACTATTACTGTACATAGCATGTACCAAATAATTCTGGTTGGCTCAAGCCTTAACTTTTCAGACATCATATGAGTGAATCAGAAAAAAAGACAGTAAAAACCTACCATAACTGAAATCAAACTAATGTATTCATTTATTTGTAAGATTTGTATATCTGACTCCCAATGACTTTGTGCTGTTCACAAGTGGAAGGAAGGAAGGAAAACATAAGAATAGACAATAATAAAGGAGAGGAGATTGCAAATATAAAAGCTGAACAGAAATAAAAATGAAACAGATCCATACAACCCAAATGGGCTTATCCTCACTAAAGGCTTGTGTGAAAAGCCAGGTCTTCAAGACCTTTCAAAACACTAGGGTGGAATAATTGGGGATGGGGGGATACAGCGAGGGGACTCATTCCAAAGGTCAGATGCTTTAGAGAAGACACATTTCAGGGGTTCTGATAAATGGTATTGTATAATCAAAAGAACCTGAAGTGCTCCTACTTGATCAAGTTGGCTGGGCAGATACTATGGGAGATAGACAGTCCCTTATACTCTCTGCCATGTATATACAAAGGTTTAAATGTAATCATTATTTTATTTGACCATTCTCCAAATAATCCTCTTGATTTCTCTCCTACGAGAGATTAAGAGGATTATTTCCTCTTATATATCCATATATAACAACCTGGTATTCTTGTTGTCATTCCCAGGCTAGTAAAGATGGTTGAAACTGCATGGTCAAACACATGCCATATGGCTATCCCATGAGATATAGATTAAGATCTTCAAAAATGACTGTCATAATCACTTTGGGATTCATGGCTAAATGGAAGTTTCCTAGAGGTAGTCTTAAGCTTAGTATCACAATTGAGTCTGGAGTTTCAGTTGTAAGCCATTGTGGTCATAAATTGAGTCATTTCATGATTGGACTCAATTCAGTGCTTGATTTTATGATGGTGGCCGCAAGTCACCATAGTAATTAAGCAAATCAAGTGATGGTAAGTGAATAATTGCTTCATCTAGTTTTTCTATGTTATAATTGTTCTCATTTACATGCTTCATTATGTTGTAAGCCATTCAGTGCCACCTCAAATCACGAGGTATAAGATACATTGATTGATAGATAGATAGATAGATAGATAGATAGATAGATAGATATAATAATGAATGAATGAATGAATGAATGAATATGACAGGATCATAAATCTGAATCCAATTTATCCAAATGCCAAGCACCCAAAATGCAAATCAAATGACCATAAGGATAGTCATTACTTTGAGGATTGTCATAAGTAGATTTTTTGAGTACATCACAACTTTGAACGGTTATTAAGTGACAAGTCATAAGTCAAGGACTATCTGTATTTCATGCTTACTTCCCTATCTTTCTCCAGAATCATTCATGAGGATGGCTACTCAGAGGAAGAATGCAAGCAGTATAAAGTAGTTGTCTACAGCAATACAATTCAATCCATCATTGCAATAATAAGAGCAATGGGAAGACTAAAGATTGACTTTGGAGAAGTTGCCAGAGCTGTGAGTATAGATAATTGTTTTGTATAAAATATTAGAGCGCAAAAAAATACAAGACAGTTTTGGCAGACATCTGATATAACATACAAAAATTGAGGATAATCTGTTTTGAAAATTTTGTTGCAGTTATTATAATTTTCTTGGGAAAAATGAGGATATTGTATCATGCACCAAGAAATTGTTGACAAGTGTTGAAAGGAAATAAGACCTTTTCATCATTGTCCCCATGTAACAAATGTATGCTTGGAAACTTGATACCCACTTTCTAGGTGTTAGAAAAAACTTCAATTTATTTGCACATTTTAAATTAACTTTTTAATGTATTCTGCTGGGTTTCTAAAACTACTGTTAATATTGTTTTAATTGTTTTAACTGGGTAGTCCATATACAGTGCTTCTTTAGTGTTTGTCGGTTATATAATTTCTGGCAATTTTCCTTTCTGCACATTGGCAAGAAAACACATTCCAGAGATATTGAATCTCTGCCGAGCCCTGATCCGGGGTTCGCCATATGTGGTGGTGGGAAGGGCACAGAGCAGCACACATTGGAGACAGCGATCGCAGCACCGGAGAGGCTGCGACGGCGGCGGGACATGTCAGGGCGCCGCCGACCAGCTACTTGTCAGGCTGCTCTCCTGGCCGATTCTACACTAGGCAGCAGGCAATGGGGCAGGTGCTTGGCATGGAGAGAGAAGAGGTGACGGTGGCGACGGGACTTCCAGTGGCAGTGCCACATAGCCGCTCGCCAGCTGATCACCCTATGCATGCATTTCCAGTCGGTATTCACAGGGCCATGAAGCACACTGCTGACCGGGCCACATCGCTGCGGCCTAATGCTTGGCACAGGTGGCCGGATATGGGTGGCCAGCGGGCATGTCAGGCCAGCCGGTTGGAGGGTGTGGCTCTGGACTATAAAGTGTGCTGGGAGGCAAGAGCTCCCAGTGACTTTGCACAGAACTGTGTGTTATACTCATTTTGTACTGAGGCTCCGGCCTGCTGTTGAGGATAAAAGTCTGGGTTACTGAGCTGCTTGGTTTCCTGCGTGTTTGGGTGATCCTCACCCAGTCCGGGCCTGGACCTTTGAAAATCACTTTTTGTAAAAGAGGAATTTTTTTTTGAAGTATTAAGACAATGATAGGTTGTAACAATTTTGTAATAGTAACTTGAATGACCTTGCTTGCCAAGAGTTTGCTGAAACTACAGTTCATTACAATTGCCATTTTCTTGGTGGTTCTAATCCTATTATATAAAATTTATGTCTTGAATAGTGAATTCTCCAGTATTACTTGGTTATTCCGATGGGAAGTGTTACAGAGAAAGAGATAAAAACCATTTTTGGTAGATAGTAGATAATGTTTCCAATAATTTTACATTTTGCCTGAAAAGTACTTCTGATGCTGATAGTTCAGCAGCATATTATGCCATTGAATATCAGTATTTAAGCTGTTTTCTTTTGCAGGATGATGCCCGTCAGTTGTTTGTACTAGCTGGAAGTGCAGAGGAAGGAGTTATGACTCCTGAGTTAGCAGGAGTGATAAAACGCCTATGGAGAGACCCTGGAGTTCACGCATGTTTCAGCAGATCAAGAGAATACCAGCTTAATGATTCTGCATCCTAGTAAGAAAACCTTCTAATAGATTTTAAGTAGATGAATTGATCACCTCATGTTCTTCATATCTTATAAATACTTTTTATAATCTGAAAACTACTATTTATTTTGCAGAATTACCATGACATGAAGGAATACCTCTAAAGAATTGTTGTGGTATTTCTCAACAGGCTATGTGAAATCTCTCTATGTGAGGATATAAAAATTAATTTGAGGAAAATTGTTTAATAAATGGACAGTTGATGGAGGCTTGGCTGTGAAGATTCCCTGGATTGTGTTTAGTTGATCAAAGCAAGTTCTGTGGGTCACATGAAAGGGCTGCACTGTCAAGTCTAACAAGATTCACTCTTATCATCTGCTCTAAAGGACATTAGGACATCTGCTCTTTAATTGCAATTTTGGGATCTTCCTATTGGAACTGAAGTGCGCAACAGAACAAAGTGATACTGATTCTTCCCTCTTCCTCTTGCTAAACTTGTCATCTTCCTTATTCTCCATCATCCTATTATCTTGACCGAAATGGGGGAAATCCACAGTAAGGTATCTTGTTTACATAGGATAAGTGTTTGTTTACACCATAATAATTGTATTGCTAAGATACTGGGAGACAATTTTAATTATTTTGTCAGTGGAGAAGCATTTCTAAGCAACAGTTTAAAATCCATAAAAATAGAATAAGGATAAGAAGCTATGTTTAAAAAATGAACTAAACTAACATAGCTGACAGCTAAGCAGTTCTTAGGACTTGGAGTAGTTCTTGCATTTTTATACCAGCAATTTGTTTCAGACCTTGTGAGGCTTGAACTTTGGTTAAATTGTTATCTTTCTTGTCTGTTATTTAGTCTTTAAGCAGGAAAATATGCTATTCCTTTTAATGCCAAATCAGTGTATTCTTTCTAATAGAAGCCAGAGTATTAAATGCGAATGATGTAACTATTCTAGTATTATTTAACAAAAGATTATTGTTTTTTAGTGGAAGTAAGCATACTCTATCCTCTCTATATGGAATTAGATAATATCACATTTATAATTAAGAATATGCCTCAATGGTGAGACAGTTATACTAAGTTAGTTTAACATTTCCTTAATGATTTAAAGACTAAAGAAACAGGTGGGGATATAACGCACATTAAAGGGTTTAGGTTAAACATTTCATTATTAAAGTGCAGTGCTGTAAGTTATTTTTTTTCTGAAATCTAGAATCATACAAGTAAGCCAGAATGATCTAATGGCAGTTGGGGTTAGATTTCAGAAACTTAGGTTGTGTTCAGATATAGTCCAAATTACGCATCATGCTATTACATTTTGATCTTTCTTGCTTCTGAAACTGCAACCTAACTGTGACAAAATGTATTTCTGTTAAGAATATATGATTCATATCACTGTGTGAATCACTATAGATTATACTTGAACCTATGTATACTTAACCTGCTATTTGTCCCAGCCTTTCTTCAATCATATCCCTCCTTTATTTTATTCTGACAATAATAGAATTAGGAATATGCCTGCAGATATTTTATATGCCTGAATATATATCCTTAAATTGAATTTAGAAATTTCCAAATGCTTTCAGTAGTAGTGCATTGTTTTTGCTATTTTGCTAGTATTGATTTTCTAAAAAACTTTTTAATATTATTATCATGGAATTGGCTAAGGAAGATTTAATATGTAGAATACTTTTTCGTATATATATATTTACACACATATACATATGTTGTTATTCTTATCCCTCCTTTATTTGACTATATCCTGTATCATAACATTTTCCCCCTATAATCGAAACTTTAGCTGTATCTAAGTTGGTTCCCTTTTTTAAAAATTAACCTTTATGTATAATCCAAAGGGATTTCTAATCTTCCTTACATGGGTACCATTCCATATTCATATCCAATTATACTCATCATAACACTACACATTGTATACATTAGTAACATTATCAATTATTTATTTAAACTATATCTATTATCAATAAATTTCATTAAGTTTAACTAGTTTTAAATTATATTCTTCCATCTATCAACCTGTATCTTTCCAATAGCAAAACAGTCTCATATCTTCTGCCATTTGTGGTGGCAGTCCTCTAATCATCT